TAGGGGGTTGTCCTTATTGGAGGAGGACAACAAGTAAGAAAACCATGTAGAGAACCTTTGTCAGAGGTGTTAGCAAGACTGATGATTTTTGTCATTGTTGTTGATTATAATATATAAGGTCATTTCTTGGTGGAGGAACCTGAGATGTATTTCATTGGCCAGCATAAGGTCAAAAACATTTACTGGGTCTTCTGAATTTCAACTTTGTGGGAAACATTAAGAGTTTGACATCATGATTAACTTTTTTTTTTAGTAAGGTGAAATGCAATTGTACAACTGAAGGGGCCATGTAACAGTTCTGCAGGATAAGATAATTGTAATTATCTGTTACATCAGACTCCTGCTGTGTGAGGAACAAGCATCTGGAAGCTTTGTAAAGGAAGTAAATTAAAGTCGGTATCTAACGGAAAACTTAAAAGAGACATAGAATCCAATTGAGTAATTTAATAGGACTGTCTAGCAAGTTTTCAAAGGCACCCCTTGGAAAGTCTGAATAATTACCCCAAACTGAGTTTGAAGACAGAGTGTCTGATAGCCTCCTTTAATCAGGGAACATGGATGGTTAGGGTGTGGACCCTGGAATCAGCTTTTGCTTAGGGACAGAATTGAATGTCGGGGGGTAAAGGGCATGATCATTGAACTAGCATGCAGGTCGCATACCTATTGGTACCTTAGGTACAAGGTTCTCTGCTCACAGCATCCTCACAAGTCAGTTAGGGAGACATAGAGGGCAGAGTAATTGCTGTTTTCCTCTGTGTTGTTTCGACATTTAGGATGTGAATACAGACTCTAAGATCCTCCACTGGACAAGAGGATTCATGTCCCTGTCATGTGAGACACAAAAAGTAATTCATCTTCATATAGATAAGAGGAGCTTTTCCTGGTGAGGCCTACACAGCTGGAGACAGGAGCAGCAGATTCCTGGAAGGTCTTATTCCATGTGCATCCATCCTTCTCCTGGAATGAGGACCTAACAATTTCCTCTGGAGGGAAAGGGCACTACTTGAGCCTTTGGATGTCCTGTAAATTTATCCCATTTTACTGAGGCAGTAAATTTTTCATATTCCTATTAAGATTGTTGAGTCTCAATTTTTTAAAAATTGAAGCTTTTTTGGTGTCAAGATAAACTTTACACCATAGATGCAGTCCATGGAGAGACTGGGAACCTGGTTTCCCTGATTCTTTCTTAGTGTGCTTTTAGAAAATATCATGGTTTTTAATGACTGACTTTTTCCAGATATCGAGAGCTTAACAAAGTTAGAGAAGATGTAAGTGATTGGACATAGTTTGTTTTGTTTTGTTTTGTTTGTTTGTTTGTTTGGTTTGGTTTTTCAAGATAGCCTTTCTCTGTCTTGGCTGTCCCAGAACTCACTCTGTAGACCAGGTTGGCCTCGGACTTGAAGAAATCTGCCTGTCTCTGCCTCCCGAGTGCTGGGATTAAAAGCCTGTGCCACCACTGCTGGTGAATTTCTAAATCTTTATCATCAGACATATATCATCCTTAAGTCCCCTTCTCCATGAGCCTTGTATAATTTACTCAGACCTTCTGTGACTTGAGTTTATAACCTTATATTTTACATTTGTTTAAACATTTTTCCTACTTACTGTTTTTTTCTCTTTTTAAACAAATGTTGTATCCAAGTTATATACATGATATGCTGTAGCAAATAATGATTATCTGCATGTAAACCTTTAAGTAGTAACCTTTTTTTTCTCTTTCTTTTTTTATTTAAGTTAGAAACAAACTTGTTTCACTTATCAATCCCAACTCCCTCTCCCAAGTAGTAATCGTTTTTGTTACAAATTTAAGCTATCTTTTTCTCTGCTTGGAGTTTTACAGCTTTTTAAACACCTTCCCTAGTGGTCTTACAGATCCTGAGATAAAGAAAGATAACATTCTAGTGAGAACTTCAAGGATATTCCTGACTGTGAATGAAGGAACAGTTTTTTATAAACAAGAGTCAAGAAGGGGGAAAGTACTCAGAGAGCCAGGCACCTATAATTACAGTTAGTCATTTTAACTTTTATATATGAATCTCACTTGATTAAAAAATTTAAACACCACAAGATAGAACACTAACCAATAAGAAATTTCCCCTAAGGGGAGGTGTTAGCAACATCTCAGTTTATTTAAGAGCTTTCCATTGTTTTATAGTTGGATTGTCCCCTTTTTTTAGTCTTTAGCCTGTATCTCCCAATTTTTTCTTGAGGTCTCATACAATTAGGGCCTAATTGCATATAAGCAGCTGAGAGGAGTGACTGGATACTCGGGTGATGATCTGATGACTATGCCTATGGATTAGTCAGTGTGTTATTGCTGTGAAGATACACCATGACAATTACAACTCTTATAAAAGAAAGCAACCAGTTGGGGCTTGCTTACAGTTTCAGAGGTTTAGTCCATTACCATGGCAGGGAGAATGGCGGCACACAGGCAGACATCGTGCAGGAGAAGTAGCTGGGAATGCTACATCTGGATCAGGTGGCAGCCTCAAGAGATACCTTAGATCTGGCATGGGCTTTTGTAACCTCAAAACCCATCCCCAGTGACACACTTCCTCAAACAAGGCCACACCACCTAATCTTTTCAAGTAGTGCCACGCCTTGGTAACCAAACATTCAAATCTATGAGCCTGTGGGGGCATTTTCATTTAAACCACCATAACTAACCTAAAGCCCAACTGTGATTATGTTAAACAGGCACATCTGGAGTCATCATTGAGAGATTTTAGATAGAGGGTCTTCTTTCGCTCAGATCTGGTTTATGTGTGTCTGTAGATGGAGGCAGACAACCTGGAAAGAGTAACAAGTATTTTTCTCTTATGAAGACATCAATTGCAAACAATATAAGGTAACCTGGAGGCCATCAAAAAGAAAACTCTAAAAATATGAGCAAGAGCATCCAGGCTTGGTGGGGCATAAGCAAAGGCTCACCATGGGCCAAAGGCAAAGGAGTCTCAAGGCAGTTTCCCTTTCAAGCCTCACAACCAAGGTTTTTGTGCACAGAAAAATTTGCCCTGCATCCTGTGGCCATTCTGAGGTGGGGTTGTGGACTCACTGGCTGGCAAGGCTGCTGGGATGCCTGGGGCTTGGGGGAGGGGTAGACAAGTAGGGGGTATCTTACTCAGTCTTCTAATTGCTGTGGAGAGCCACCATGACTATGGCAACTCTTATAAAAACAAAGCGTTTAATTGGGGCTACAGTTTCAGAGGTTTAGTTCATTATCATGGCAGGTGGCATGCAGGCAGACATGGGTGCTGGAGAAGGAGTTTTGAGTTCTATATCTTGATCCATAGGTATTGGAAGCAACTGTGTCTCACACTGAGCATAGTTTGAGTAAAGGAGACCTCAAAGCCCACCTCCACAGTGACACCAACATTATCATACCTCCTAGTAGTGCCAGTCCCTATGGGGGCCATTTTCTTTCAAACCGCCACAGTGGGGCTGCTGAACAAGTGTAGCTGGTCTGAGGTCTCCCAAATGGAGCTTCTTTAGATTAACCTGCAAACAAGTGTGTCCTTTGACAAAGACAATTTGGAACTCACGTTGTATATGGAACCAAGGTAAAAACAGGGCTCAGATCCAACTACTTGGAGCATCCCCCAAGTATTAGATTGCCCAAATGTGCCTGAAAGGCAAGAGTGGTGTCTCCAAATTTGTTACCTTCCAGGAGTCAAGAGAAAATGGGGCTAGTGGAAAGCTCCTAGACCCCCCCCATGAGCCTTACTGGCCTGTGCAGAGTTCCAAGGACTCTTGAGTGAGCAAGGCTCATGGGGGACACAAAAAGCTCCTGGAACTTCCAGTCAAGTGAGTCTTAAGACAAAAGGAGGCTTCTGTTAGCCTCTGGGTTGGGTACTATGTGTTACCTTGTCCCAATGTTTTGGCTGTGTCGGGTGTGTGGTCTGGTCACATGGAGAATTGCCTCTTATCTGTAGGCCAAAACTTAACAGAGAGACATGGAAAGAGATAAATGTCTGATTTTTATGAGGAAAGGAGAGATGATGGAGGAGAGAATTTCTTGAGAGAGATGGACAGGTGGGTCGACCTGTCAGGTGACCTTGAAAAGACTCAGCCAAGGTGCCAGATGATAGTGTCACCAGAGCCAGAGCTGTCAGTGGCCTTCAGGGACTCAGGGCCACTGGAAAAGCCCAAGGTCTGAACAAGATGGAGAAAGGTGGTAGGACAGAGAAAGGTTAGAAGATAGAATGATGTCTGAAAGAGGTGAATGGTCCCGTCAGCCTTACTTGGGGCCCCAAACTGGCTTTACATAGGACACCAATAAAACCCCCAGAACTGCCGGGCGGTGGTGGCGCACGCCTTTAATCCCAGCACTCGGGAGGCAGAGGCAGGCGGATCTCTGTGAGTTCGAGGCCGGGCTGGACCGATAGCCTCCGAAATAATACAGAGAAACCCTGTCTCGTAAAAATGAAAAACAAACAAACAAACAAACAAACAAACAAACAAAAACCCCAGAACCAGAGGCCCATCAATGGGACCATCACTTCTCATGGAGGCAGAGGCCCCAGGTAGACTGGCGAATATTTAGCTTATATAGTGAGTTTGGGGGCATCTGTGCTCACAAGAGAACAGTTCACAAGAGTAGACAAGGACAGTTAAAGGTCCCAGAAAGAGGGTTTTGGGGGGCCCCAGATGTCCTCCTGGGTTTCTTCACCAAATGTTAGATTTATGAGGCAGAAGAAAAGAGACCAGTTTGCCCTCATCAGACAGGAATGTTTATCTCAAACATCAAGGGGCAGGCACAGTGGCAAAGGGGTATCTGCTAAAGGGGAAAGGGTACTTGGGTCTATATAGGAGGCTTGGGGAATGCAGTGGCTGGGGCTATATGCGAACCTGCAGCTTCTCCCTCCTGGAGTTTGTTCAGAAAAGGTTGTTATATCTTTACAATTGCCTTGTCCTGGTTATCAAGATGAGGGCCATAGTGAGTGATTGAGTTTGGCAAAGGCAGTGAGAGGGAAGGAGTTGGACTTTCAATATAGGACCTTAGTCAGGGTCTGGCAGAGTTTATTTAAGGCAGATTCCAACAACTGACATCAGTCTTAGTGCTTGGAGTGTTTTGTGTCTGCAGAGCTTCTGACACATTTATTTATCTAGAATTTTCCAATCTTGTCCTCAGAGAGGAAACATCCAATGAGGTGGTTCAGTCATCTGGAAGGAAGGAGCTATCCACACAGGCGGTGTGTACAGAGATGTTTGCAATGCAGGGAATGCTGGTACCACAGGCAGCCTGCAGAGAAGGAGATGGCAGGATCCACAGGAGTGCCAAACTGCAGGTGTGAAGACAGATTCAGGATTTGTCAGGACGGATCAGCACCGTCTGAAGATGATGATGGTGAGAGTGTTCCTGCTGGACAGCAGAGTGACTGCAGCATGATGGATCATGCTGCATGTGCTAGCCAGCAGAACACGTTCTGTGAATGAGTCCTAAGATCTGTGATGAAGCAGCATGCCAGGCCAGCAGGCTACTGCTGACTCGTGTCATTGCTGAGTTGTATATGTGCACCATGTGAGTGTGCGCATACACGTGCATGGGAAAGCCAGAGGTCCACGGTGGGTGTCCCCCTCAATCACTCCACCTTATTCTTTTGAGACAGATCACTGACTGAACTTGGAGTTCACTGCTTTGGCTATACTGTCTGGCAGATGCCACTCTCAAGGTCATGATGATCCAGTCTATAAGGGCCTAATTCTTCAGATCTGATGGGTAGAATATATCAGATGTGTCCAGGCCTTTGGCATTGCAGCATGATGATATTACCTACAGAGTTCATGAATCCTTCACCCGAGATTCTAAAGAATGCAAAAAACAATGACAAAAACAAACAAGGCACAAATCCTCAAGGGCCCGTAGTGATTTTACTCATTCTGGTGCTGCTTCCTGTTAGAGAAACACCACCCACTTTACTCCCTGAACCTTAAGTTTGTGTGGTTCTCCCCTTGCTTATTGTATTGAATCACTCGACAGTGCTGAGGTTGTGAGCAGTCTCCCATGGTGTGACCATGGAGGGTGGAGTGTGGCTCACACTGCTGTCCTTCTACTGTGCCTTGAGTCTCTAGGTTGCCCTCCTACCCTCTCCCCCGGTGTCCAGAACAATGCATCCCATTTCATCCCTGAGCTAACACCTTATAGCAGGCTTTCTTTTGGGCCACCAACCAACTCCAAAATCATGACATGGAGACTTCTTATTAGTTATGAGTGCTGAGCATTATCCTAGCTCTTATTTTAATCTGTTTCCTGTCACTCAAATATAAATCGCACACTTTATGAAGGACATAGGTGACTATTTATTGTGGAATGTACTTACAAGAGAAACTGACAACGCAGTTATTAAATATTATTTTCATAATGTTCAGTACATTTGTTTATTATGTATACAGTGTCCTGTCTGCATGTATGCCTGCAGGCCAGAAGAGGGCGCTAGATCTCATTACAGATGGTTGCGAGCCACCATGTGGTTGCTGGGAATCGAACTCGGGACCTCTGGAAGAGCAGTCAGTGTTCTTAACCTCTGAGCCATCTCTCCAGCCCTGTCCAGTCCATTTGTATTTGGCAAATTCAAAGAAAATACTCCATTATTTATCCTATCTTGGTGAGTCCAAAGTTTTGTACCTAATTTACCTTCTGTCATAACTAAGGACAATTATACCTCTAACTATCTAGTCTTTAACTTCATCAAAGACCCCAGAGGATATAATATTACCTGAGTAAACAGAAAGTGCAGAGCAAGCCACTTCCAAAATGATGGAGACATCTGGCTGTCTGGACAGTCACCCCGGGTTCCTCTGCAATATTGGGGCATCCATCTTCAGGTTATAGGCCTAGAATATCTGACAGACATCTATTAATCAGGAATTTGGAAGGACTGTTCTACCTTGTTTTGGCAAAGTTCAGCAGTTGTTTCCTTTGTGTTCTGCTCTGCAAAGAACACTGCAAGCAGTCAAGGCAAAAGAAGTTTCTTGGCCAAATGGCTTACTTTGCCAAAATGAAAGAAAACTCAGTATGGAGTTTCTCTGATGCCCATCATCTTATCTGAAGTAAACTAGTACTGCCCCAGGAGCAGATGGGTCTCACTATCATGAAAAACCACAGGTTATTAAACACCTTAAATGCCATATTCTGTAGGTCTTTGAAGTGTTTAAAAATCATATCTATCTAAAATATCTGTATAACCTTGAGGATACATAATATGACTACAAGTTTGATTATTATAGATGACTATAATAATATATATAATAAATGTATATAATTACATTTTAAAATGTAATTATATATTAAATTTAAAATGAGCTGCATAAGTCGGGTGGTGGTGGCGCAAGCCTTTAATCCCAGCACTCAGGAGACAGAGGCAGGCAGATCTGTGTGAGTTCGAGACCAACCTGGTCTACAGGAGCTAGTTCCAGGACAGTCTCCAAAGCTACAGAGAAACCCTGTCTCAAAAAACCAAAAAGAAAAAAAAATGAGCTGCATACAATACCGCAAACAAGAGTAGAAACATATATACAGTATAACAAAAATAATTTTAAATTTGTATCAATATAGCAAAATACATACCAGTATAAAATATTTGAGGTTAATAGTTGTCTTTTTGTCCTATATTCCTGTATCCCCCTAAATGATGACAAACATTCATAACTCACTGAATAACCAAATAACACCTACTCCACTTCTTGGCCATGTAGGCGTTATGTTCTCTAGACTGCTTCCTGTTGTCTGGGGGCAGAGGCATCTTTAGGGAAGCCTGAGAAAATTTATATAACTGTCAAGTTCTAAGAAAACTAGTTAACATTTGTTGTGCAGTCTCTGTGCAATGGGGAAATGTAAGGCTTATCTGAAGTCCTGGCTAGAATAGTCTGTGAGGCTGGACATCTCAGCCAGCAGCCTTGAAGCTCTTCTGGATGCAACAGAGGCACTCTGAGAGGATGGATCACCTGGGCCACCTGTTTTCATTGGTGTCTGGCCCCCTTGCTCTGAAAACACAAACTTTCAAAGGTTATATACATAACTGCATTAACAATCTATGGACTGTGTATTGTACACAAGCCAGTCAGCCAAGATGATTTTTTTTTTGGTTTACAAGGCAGGGTTTCTCTGTGTTGTTTTGGAGGCTGTTGGTCCAGCCTGGCCTCGAACTCACAGAGATCCACCTGCCTCTGCCTCCCGAGTGCTGGGATTAAAGGCATGTGCCACCATCGCCCGGCTAGCCAAGATGATTTTTTGTTTTATGTTTGAGCAGGTAAAATATATGTCACCTGTCTTTGTACTTTTTCCCCCTTGGTTTTTTTTTTTTTTTAATGTCTGTAGTCAAGATTTTCAGGAGGTCTCCCCTGATCAAACCTGTGGAAACAAAAGTTTAACCACTTCCTTACTTCCGTTTGAAAGTTAAGGCATTCCAAAAGTATCTGGACTGGTTTGATTCAGCAGTCCCTCTTACAATCCCATGTCTCTCAGCAGCTGTTGTTGGCTCACCAGGATTTACAAACTTGAAATCAACACACCATACAGGATCTGGACTCCCTGTGCATTTCCCATCTCTATGTAGCTATCTTTTATATATTACTTTACTCTTCCTTTAAAGCATTTATTTTAATTTTTAAATTATTTTTTCTATAACTGTCTATAGCCATTTTATTTTCTTTCTTAAGCTTATGCACATTTTAAATACACTGTATAACACAAAGAGGGATGCTCTCTCAGCCTGGACTCTTAGGGCAGTGCCTGGACCCTACCCTGAGTGAAATGACAGACTCTAGATATCCCCTATGTGGAAGGAATTGGCAATAGGGTGGGAGGATGGGGGGGTTGGGGGGTGTGGGAGGAGGGGAGGGAGGGAGAACTGGGATTGACATGCAAAACAAGCTATTTAAAATTAAAATAATAAAAAAATACACTGTAACCTGTATAGAGGTTTTTGTTTTGTTTTTCTATCTGGATCTGTCTTTACTGCATATCTCTTCCTTTAATGACTGACTGTATGAGCCAAATTTTAAACTGTTTAACAGCAGCGGTTAGGCCCTTTGCTGGCAGGTCTGGTGGCTGGCCCTGCCTCCTCCTCAGGTGGTGAAGACAAACTCTATGCCCCATGGGCCTGACTGAGACCCACATTTTTTAACTGGGAAATGCATTCAATCACCCCAGCTCTGGGATGCTAGTGTCTGAGCTATGGCAGGTGGCCCTACCCAGCACACTGTTTCTACGTAATGGGCCGCCTTTTTTTTTCTCTCAGCTATCTCAGGCCCTAGGTAGAAATTAGGGTTTCACATTAGAACACCAAATGTATCAGGCTTTCTTTTAGGCCACAAACCAGCTCCCAAATCATCACATGAGACTTCTTATTAGTTATGAATATTCACCATTATTGTAGCTCTTATTTTAATCTTCTGTTTTTCTTTATCTATGCTTTGCCTCTGGGCTTTTGATCTTTCTTTCTCTTTCTTTTTTTTTTTAAAGTTTTACTTATTTTATGTATCTGCATGCACATTTAGATGTCAGAAGAGGTTATCAGATTCCATTATAGATGGTTGTGAGCCACCATGTGGTTGCTGGGAATTGAACTCAGGACCTCTGGAAGAGCAGCTGATACTCTTAACAACAGAATCATCTCTCCAGCCCCATTCTCTCCCTCCCTCCCTTCCTCCCTCCCTCCCTCCCTTCCTTCCTTCCATCTTACCTTCCTGCTGTCTCCAAGTCTGCTGCCTTCTGGCCCCAGGTGTGTCTTTCTCCTCTCGTTCTTCCCATTCTCCTAGATCTCTCCTGCTACTCTTTTTCTCTGCCTGCTAGCCCTGCCTATCCCTCTTCTGCTTAGCTATTGGCAGTTCAGCTTTTTATTAGGTCAATCAGGTGCCTTAGGCAGGCAAGATGAAACAGCAACATGTCTTTACATAATTAAACAAATGTAACATCCTTACATCATTAAACTAATGTAGCATAAACAAATGTAACACCCTTTTGCACAGTTAAAAGTAATAGTCTGCAGCATAAACAAATGTTTACACATCTTTATTTAAAGTAATTTCCACAATAATAGCTGGCACCTGTCTTAGCTTCTCATCCTCCATCTCTAAAGCTTATAAGCTTGGGTTGTTATCTTGGAGCTATGGTTCCACTTTGGGCAGCTTCAAGGATAAGAGGGATATAAAGATGCTTATCTCTTTCAAGCTATAACTCGTTTAGTTCTTCACCCTCATCCTTAGACAACTGGGCATCAGTGGCCTGTTAAGAGAAGCTTTTTCCTTGCTAGCCGCTTTGGTTTTTCCCTGCCAGTTGCCTGGGCTCTGCCGCTTTGTAGTCCCCAAATAAACACACAAGACGCTGTATTAATTATAAAGCTGTTGGCCTTGTTTGTTTCTTACTGGCTACCTCTGCCTTAAGTAATTACCCCATAATTGTTAATCTAAGTATTTCTCTTACCGGAGAATAGTCCCGGGTTTCCTACCCCCATGGCGATACATCTCCAACTCTCCTGTGTTTCTCCTTCCCAGAATCCTCCTGGACTCCTAGCCCCACCTATCTAGATTCCTATTGGCCAGCAGTAATTTATTGACATATACACAGGACTTCCCCAACATCTCCTCTTTTCTGTTTAAACAAAAGAAAGGTCTTACCTTTAACATAGTCAAATTGTATATGACAGAACAGTTATCAAGTAAGAACATAGTTACAATATTTTAGCAAGATTTAAAGAAAATATCATCCATCCCATTCTTGCGAGTCCAAAGTTCTATATGTAGCTTATCTTTTATCATAACTAAGGAAAACTATAATTATAACTATCTGTCTTCAACTCCATCAAAGACCACAGAAGGATAATATATAAACACTAGGATTGACAGAGACATCTTACTGTCTGGACAGTCACCCAAAGTTCCTCTGTAACGTTGGGGCATCCATCTTTAGCCCATAGGCCACAATGTGTCTGGAACACTTCTCAGCAAAGCAGGAAATTTCAAACTGTCCATCTGCATTGGCAGTCTGTCAGTCATTTTTTCTGTATCCTGTAGAAAGTCTTGAAGCAGGAACCCTGTAAGACTGAGTTTAGCAGTCACTTTTCTGTGGGTCCTGCATGTCCAGATTATACAACAACAGTCAGTCTAGGCAAGAGCAGTTTCTTGCCCAAATGGCTAATCTTGTCATGTTGAAAGTAAACTCCATAACAAGTTTCTTCGATGCCCATCTTCCTCTCAGACGTAATTAGTGCTGCCAGGAGCAGACATTTCTCATTGTCAAGAAAAACCCTAAACCATTTTAAATGCCATTTTCTGAAGGTCTTTGAAAGGTTTGAAGACTGTCTATGTCAAATATATTTCTGTATATCTAGAAAACCTAACTTACCTAACTATAAATTCTATTATAAGTAACTATCTATAGTCTGTATTCAATTATGCATTATGTTTTAAAAGATCAGTATAAGCATAATACTTAATCAAGAGGAGAAATATACACATTACAAAATTGACCTTAAATTTGTATCAATAAATGAAAAACAATACCCATACCATAATTCCCCTTTTTTCCATTAAAAAGAGATTGGCTGTGATCATTAACCAATTATAAACAATCCCATTTAAATGAAAACAAAGATTTATAAACAAGATGGGAATTGGGACGTCGCTCATTCCAAACTGCTTCCTGCTGGAAGGGGGCGCTGTTCATACCATGGGGATCATGACAAAATTCAGAAACCTGTATGAGTCCTTATTTTTAGGGTCTGTAAAGCTCCATCATCTTAGCTGTTTCAATTGTTGGAACATCTGATCCACTGCTTCCGGGGGTCTTGGTTCATCAAACCACAGAAGCCTGGAAGGAATCCTCAGCTTTTCATTTTCTGTGGAAACATAAACTAAAACTCCTTTTCCAAATAACGTATCCTTATACTTAAATTTTGAAGTCGAGGCATTTTCAAAAGATAGAAGTTGGATTAATTCATCAGCATTTATAATCAAGTGTACTTTAGCAGCAGTTCCTTCCTGAGCAATGAAAAAAAACTGAAAAACACAATAGCGTACAGTATCCAGACTCTTTGTGTATTTTCCATCTTTACGTGGCTTATTTATTTATCTATTATTACTTTATTTATTTTACTTTCATTTATTTTTCTCTGAGACAGGGTTTCTCTTTGGAAATCTGCCTGCCTCTGCCTCTGGAGTAAATCCTACCGGCGTGCGCCACCACAACGCCGGCTTTTGTATTTATATACCACTTTGCCGTTTCATTTTCTCTCTCAATCTCACGTATATTTTTAAACACACTGTAAACCTTTAGAGATTTTCTTCATCCAAGTCTGACTTTACTGTAAATCTTTATGTTTTTCTGGCCACGTGTCTTAACTGTAAAACCGCGGCTGTTTTAAACTTCCGGTTTTTCGTCAAGATGGCGGACATAAGCGTGATTCCAGCTTACCGCCTCAGTCCATGCTGACCTCCAGCAAAAGCTGCCACTTCCAGCTGTACGTACACACCTTTCAATCGTTAGCAGAGTCTCTTAAAAGAACCTTGCTGGGTTTTTTTTTTCTTTTTCTTTTTATGCCGAGTCAGGAAGACTCCAGTAAGCGAGCCGCGTGAACCTCGGCTTGTGGCTAGCAAAACAGAGCACACCTGAGAAAAATGCTGCTACCAAAACTCTGTGCTTCTCTCCGTTCTTCTGTTTCTAAAATTCCTTTAAAGCTTTTGTTATTTTCCGTGGAAATTCAATCCCACTCCTGACAACCATTATGTTAAGAGAAGCTTTTTCCTTGCTAGCCGCTTTGGTTTTTCCCTGCCAGTTGCCTGGGCTCTGCCGCTTTGTAGTCCCCAAATAAACACACAAGACGCTGTATTAATTATAAAGCTGTTGGCCTTGTTTGTTTCTTACTGGCTACCTCTGCCTTAAGTAATTACCCCATAATTGTTAATCTAAGTATTTCTCTTACCGGAGAATAGTCCCGGGCTTCCTACCCCCATGGCGTTACATCTCGAACTCTCCTGTGTTTCTCCTTCCCAGAATCCTCCTGGACTCCTAGCCCCATCTAGATTCCTATTGGCCAGCAGTAATTTATTGACATATACACAGGACTTCCCCAACAGTGGCCAACTGAACTGCTGACAAGAATGACCACCCCACTTCTGAGGCTTCTTGCTTTTCTTACTGCCACAGGGTGAGTGGCACTCAAATAGTCCGCCCATACCTGGTATTTTCAGGGCATCTGCACAGCAGGCTGGACACATTTAGCATGGAGTCCAGCTTTCCCCTTTGGGGTTAGGTGGCCTGCTGAGGGCTTTGCCCACTCTGTTTCTACTCTCTGCTCTCTGTCTACTTCCTCAGCCTCCTTGCTGGTTCTCCGATTTTTTTGTGGACCAGTCCAATCCTAGTGTCTGAGGACTGTCCTGAGATGCTATGAGACCCCAGAAAGAGAGGCCGATAGACCCAGTACCACTCGACACACAGCTTATTGGGAGAGTCTTTGGAAGTGAGGGCCTGCAAGCACTCCAGCAAGAGCAGTTGGATCCCTATGCTTTGGGTCAGCCTGGAGGTGCTGTGTCAAGCAAGGGCTGGACCATACCTCCTGGTTGCTGCGTGGGTGTGGGAGGCTTCTGGTGCCCTTGTGAGTGCAATAGGTACACATGAGTCTGGAGTTTCCCCACACAAGCCGAGAAGTGGTTGCTGGCCAAACCCTTTGTGACCTTGAGGGAGTGAGCTAACCTCTCTGCCCAGCTCATAGGACTGACCTCACATGGACAGCTCTGTCCTCAGTGTACTTGAATTTCTTTACAGCTTTTTTTCATTTTATGTGTGTTTTGCTTGCATGTGTGACTGTGAACCACACATGTACCTGGTGCCCTTATTGCCCAGAAGGAAGTAGATCCCCTGGAACTGGAGTTATAGATGTTTGTAAGCTCAGTGGGTGCGAAGAATCAAACCTGGGTATTCTAGAAGAGGAATAAGTGCTCTTAACTGCTGAGTATTCTTTCCAGACCCTTGTATTTGACTTTCAAATGCAAAGTGTGTGTGGCTTGGATCTCAGGCAGTCCTTTGACATCATAGTTCACTCCTGTGTCCTGCCATTGTCCTGGTACCAGTACAGGTACGTGCAGACATTATCCCATCAGCCTGTGTGATGTCATCTCTGGACTACTTTCCCTGATGCCTCCAGGGTATCTTGGGACCCTAGAAACTGCAGCTTCAGCTCCAATCTTAACACTCCAGAGTGAGTCAGGGGGCAGGAGATGTAAGTGGGAAGTGTGGGTGAGAGATGGAACTTTGATCTTCATGGGAAAGAATGGGCCGGGTGGAACAGTGTCAGGCCCTGGATGCAAGGGCTGTCCCTGACTGCTTGGCTCCTGCCCCGGGGGCTGAGGGAAGAGGTGGTCACAGGAGGATAAGAACCCTTTAAAGGAGGGGTGTGGGCTCTGCATCCAGGCCTATACTTGGGACCATGGACCCGTACATGATAGTCTCTAGGAATCATCCTGTTCTGGGAGGGGCGTCTTTCAGCATCAGAGAGGGCACAGATATCAGGGAAGCATGAAGACAGAACAGGAGCAGGGACACAGGGACTGCTGAGCTGCAAGGGGGAAGGAGTGGCTGGGGGCAGAGGTCTTCCTGTCCTCCTTTCCCTGAACTGGGGTGCTACATGTCATGCAGAGAGGGGCCTGCTTCTTCTCACCACCAGATGTACAGTCCCCTGATCTGTGGCTCCTATTTGGTCTGCTCCATCTCCGGAATCCCATGAAGGTTTGTGACAGCACACCTGTCACCAAGTGATCCCTAGCCCCTAGACTCCACACCTGAGGATGTCACGAACAGACCCCAAATTTGAACACTAACTCATTAAAAGGGCCAGGCCTGGTGTGCCTTATTGACCACACACTAAATGGTATGACCCCTCTATCTCAGGTGACCTCTCTGAGGCTGGCCCTACAGGCACCAGAGGGACTGGGGAGTAGAATCCAGGATCAGAGCAATAAGGATCTGTGACATACGCCACCCTGGAAACATCAGGAGACAGAGGCCAGCAGAAGGCTGGGGCCTGACAGCACCTTCTGGCCTCTGAGATGAAGAGATAGACGAGGCGTGGGCTAGCAAGGCCTTCACAGGTCTCGGGAGAAATACTGTTTTTATTAGCATGCAGCAGGGTGGAGTGGGCAGTAGGGGTTATCTCAGGCCACCAATCTTTAGGCTGCTACCTCTTCTCAATCTATGTTTTTATTGACATAGGCTGGGCTCCTCCATGTTCCCTGTGGGACATGGGAGGAACCAGGCTTACAATGGCTCCCAAGAATGTTTGTCTGACCCGGTGGTGACATCACTGTGACATCCTTGTTCCCGAGAAATTTGTAATCCCAAGGAGCTCCTGTGTTTCCAGGTCCTGAGGTGGGTGGCCATGGTGGATGCTAGCCTGGTTCCCTGGCAAATTCTCCTAGAACCTGGGTCTCCCAAGGTCTTACTTTGTCTAGAGGCCCAGGGAAGGGGAACTTGGAGAACCTGGCTTGAGGGTCACACTAGGTGGGGGTGGTGTTGTAGATGGCTGGGGGTCTTTTGTGAGGCCTTTGCTGCTCTAAGAGCACAAGGGGAGATTTGGTCAGGATGGGAGCTGGCTGCAAAGACAGGATGGTCTCTTGGAAGAAGGCTGAACAGACAGACCTGAGCCCAGAGAAAAACCAACCAGTCCAGGCCATTCACACACACACACACACACACACACACACACACACACACACACACACACACAGACACATACCCCAAAGGGGTGGTAGCATAGACTGTTTCCATGGAGATCTCAGAGAGGAGGCATAGCATTTGGGGATCTTTGGGAAGAGTCCTCTACTTAAGAATCCAGAGGAGAAGAATTTTGAGGTGTCCCAAACCCATGTGGGAGGGAGGGTGTATCCTGAGGGCCCTTGGTTTGTCTGTACTCCAGGGTGGTTAAGGGGTCTAAGTGGGTAAGAGGCATGGGCACCTAGGGTGGGCTATGACACCCCACCCAGCCGTGGTCCAGCAAGGCAGAAAGTGTATGTATTAGTTTATCTTTTCTTACTGTGATAAACACCATGACCAAAAACAATTTGGGGAGAGAAAGGTTTATTTAGCTTATACTTCCAGGTCACAGTCCATCACTGAGGGCAGTCAGGGCAAGAACTCAAGAAGGAGCAAGGTGGGAAGCATGGAGATTAATGGACTGACTTGCCCCTAGGCCATGCTTAGCTGGCTTTTTATATAGCCCAGGCCTCCTTGCTTAGGGGTGGCATTGCTCACAGTGGACTGAGCCCTCCCATACCTAGTAGCAATCAGGAAAATGCCCATAGGTCAACCTGATCAAAACATTTCCCTGACTTCCTCAGATACCTCTGGACTGCTTCAAGTAGACAGCTGAGGCTAGCTCAGAGAGCAGTAGAGGGTCTGTTCCATGTTCTGGGTTATCTCAGGCAGACAGACCTCTCTGAGTCTCAGGGTCTTAACTGTACCGTGGAAGGGTTTTCCAGCATCACTGACAGGGATCTCAGCTAATGCTCAGTTGGGTAAACACCTGTAAGGCTGGCTTGGACTTTCTTCTGGGGAGAAGTAGGTGTTCAGAGGCCAAAAATTAGACTTGTGGACAGGCTACTTCCCTTCATGCTCTCAGTTCCCCAAGCTGAGGAACCGAAGTTGAGAATCTTGACCTGGAGGCGAACAGACAGCCATGCCGGTTCCTAAGCTTCAGTGTGGAGGAGGGAAGGCCCTCATGGGGGTGGAAGGGACTCCCCTGGAAGAGGAGGACCAGCCCCATCTGCAAACTCCTAGCCCGCTGGGATCCCTATATCTAGACTTGTCAGAGAATCTGAGGTAAAGATATCATGCCACAGGATGCCACCCAACACATCCAAATGGGGTTGGAAGGGACAGTTGCCAATTCTAGGATGACAGGCAGGGTTCTGCTGTCCTTGTCCAGACTCAGGTACAACTTTAAATCATGACAGAGACCAAATGTCCCTCGATCAGTGGGCCTGGTCCAAGTCAGAATTACACCCACACAGATGTCATAGGAGGCCAACACGTCTGATAGGTGGACCTAGAGTGTTGATGTACTAAAATCCTCTTGGGACTTGCTGGCCACAACTCCACTGTGTATATGTAAATCAACTGACTGTATTCCGTGAGGGAGTAGAAATGTAAGGGTAGAGTTAGCACAATGACATATGGGTGGTGGCAAGCCACCTGTGCCTGGATTGGTGGACTCCCATTCATCTCTGAGCCCCCGGCCAGGCAGGAGCTCAGCTACCTGCTGCGGAGTGCAGCCAGACTGCTTCCTCAGAGGAACCCTGCTAGGTAGATCCCGTCCAGGACTGGGCAGGGGGAGCTGTTTGGGTACTGAAGCTCTGGGCTCTATCTGCTAGGTAGGGGTGCTTTGGGTGTGGGCAGAGCTGAGAGGGGCCTTGCTGCCCAAGCAGAGAACCTCTCTTTGAGATTGAGACCCAGGAGCCGCCAGCTTTTCTGAAATGTTGCATGAGTTTTGCATCATCCACTGGGCTCCTGTCTACAACCCCCTCTGTGCTTTGTTTTCTGAGATGGGTCCCCTATACCTTAAGCTGACCTTGAACTCTGTTTTCAGTGTGCGTGCGTGCGTGCGTGCGTGCGTGCGTGTGTGTGTGTGTGTGTGTGTGTGTGTGTGTGTGTGTGTGTACCACATGCATGCTTTGACCGCAGAAGCCAAAAGAGGGAGACAGATCCCCTGAGACTAGAGTTAGAGGTGTAGCCCAGGCGCGACTTGGTTTTACAACCCCCCTGCCACAGCTTGCCAGGCAGCTGTGCCAGCTCTGCTCTTGGTCCCTGACAAAGCCAGGCAGGCTTTGCTCTCTGGTTGTGGTATGGGGTCAGGAGGACACCCCTGAGAACTCCCAAACCACTTATTCCCCTTTAGCTAACCAAGCTTCCAATTTCATTTATTCCACACTAAAGGGAGGAGCATGGAGCACTGAGAAAAGTCACCCCACACTCTATAAGAAGGATGCTGATAGGGGGACAGTTGCCCGCCACTGTGACTGGCCTGTCTTATGCCTGCCTTCTCCTTGCTGTAGTCATCGGGGAAGGGTGGCTGGGGAAACAGCTGTCATGAGGTCCTGGAGCTCTACCTAATATGCACAATCCCAGGCCCTCCGCAGAAACACCACTCTTTGTCTGCCCTTCCCCAGCATCCTTCCAGGGGACACACGACTGGGTCATCAGCAAAGGTGTCCCTCCAGCGTCTTACTGCTGAAGCTCTGACCCCAGTTCTTACCAGTTCCCCTGCCCCCCATGGGCTGGAGCTGCAGTTGTGATCCACTGGGCTTAGACGGTCATGTCTACAAGTCCCCCTTGGGAAGCCTCTCTCACAGCCCCCAGCTCAGCCTCATCCCCCAGTGCCCGATGGAGCACCAGCCGGAGGGGTTCCTGCAGCCTCTGGCCAGGTGTGCTGCCCAAGAAAAAGTAGATAGCGGGCTTGGCTGAACTGTGCACGCTGGCCATGAAGAAGCTGAAATGGTAGAAATAGAGGGGGGTATGCCAGGACAGGTTCTTGGACAGCCAGAAAATGCCAAAGGGCAGGCCGCAGAACAGGAAAAGGAGGACAGCCAGCAAGACCAGGGTGGGGAAGCCCCGGGGCTGGTGCCTCTGTGGACCACGCTCCACCCGCAGCAACAGGAGCAGGCTGGTCACACACATGGTGCAGCACAAGGCAGCCAGGAGAACGGCCACCACCAGCCACAGCATCCCGCACAGGTGGAAGCTGAGTGCGCCAAAGAACTGGGTGCAGGTGCCGCTCAGCAGCAGGTCCAACAGCAGGCAGAGCACCCAGATGAGCGCGCACACACAGGTGGTCAGGTATCGTGGGCGGCGGCACAGGTACCAGGCTGGGAAGAGAGTGGCCAGGCACTGCTCTGTGCTGATGGCCGCCAGGAGGCTCAGGCCCACAATGTAGCAGAAGAACCGCAGCATGAGCAGGCTGATGTGTACGAATTCTGGGAAGCTCAGCTGGTCTGGCAGCAGCTCCGGAATGATGACCACCATGTGGCAGCAGAGGAAGATGAGGTCAGCACAGGCCACATCCAAGAGATAGATGGAGAAGGGGTTCCGGTAGACATTCTGGTTGAGTAGCCAGAGGGCCACCCCATTGCCCAGCAGCCCACCCAGACTTAGGAGCTCAGTGAGGGACAGGATGGTCAGGTTGAACGCCATGTCTTCCTGGATTCTGGCAGACTGCGTGTGCACTCTCAGTGACATTGTAGGGTGACAGTGATGGCAGTAGAGGCTGCAGAAGTCGGCGTTGCGTTTTCTCTCTCTGGACACCCCTGCAACCATAAGGATATTAACTCAGGGACCTGAGCCTGCACTGCCCACTTCTGAGGACTCAGGTAGCCAGGAAATAGTGGAGGACAGGAACGGTGACACCCACTGGAGGAGGTGCCCATGTCCTATTGCTGTCTCATCATCAGACCTAACCCTCCCTCTCTGAAGCATGAGGTGGAAATGTTTCTGTCAGTCAAGAGCTCTGTCCCGGAGCCTACTCTGTACTTTCCTTAGAGGGACTGGATGGTCTGGAACACAGGGAGAGGAAGATAGGCCTAGACCTGATGACCTTCTTTGTAGGGAGAAGACAGGGTGGAGGATTATTCTGAGGACCTGTAGGCCCCCTTGTGTTTGTCATCAGCATAGAAAGCTCTTTAGTCTTCTAGACCTTTCTGAAGCATTCTATGAAGGTGTGTTGCCAATGAGCTCTGGACCCTCTAGCTGACGACCATACCTTGTGGGCAAGGTAGACCCAGCAATCGTCCCTTTCTCTTAGCCATGTGCCCATGCCTGTGACAGTACTCCAGCCCTTTAGGGACTAGGGAGGCCCCTCCTTTGCACATGCCACTCACTTGTCCCTTTCCTTCCCTGTTTGAAGGTGATGCTAGGCAGGGTCCTTACCTGCCTTCCTTGCCTGGGACAGTGGCTCACCGTATGCTGGAGGGCGGGGCCGGAGAAGCAGCAACACCCTGACCCAACATAGCTGGGGCTGCGACACTGAGACAGCTAAACTCCAGAGCTCGGAAAAACACCCACATCCTACCAGTGTGGTTCCCGTCCCTTCCATCACCTGCCGTTCCCTGTCTTATCCCAGAACCTGCAGTCATCTGTCCCACGCTCCCTCCTGCGGTCATCTGTCCCAACCACTATCTTCAGCTTTTCCTTGTGTTTTGGAGAGACAGGGTAGGGCCTTGCCTCTCCCCAGAGACTGGCTGGAGTCTTCTTCCTGTCTCGGTGTGACTGGCCCTCTGGTCTCCTTTAGGGAAGGGGTATAAATCCCTGGGTGGAGACTAAGGGCTCCATTTCCAGCTATGAGTTCCATCCTAGCTCCCAAGGGATTGGGATGCTTGAGGGGCAATGGGTAGGAGTATGGGGGGCGGGGGAGTGTCTAGGTGGTGAAGCCAGATTCTCTGAAATACCATCATCCCATGGCAACCAGATAGGTGGTCCCTGAGCCCGTACTCCACAGGGGAAAACCCTGTGCAAGGCCCAGGGGCCTCCCTGCTCTTACTGATAGAGTGAGCCCGGACAGGTTGCCATGGTCAAGGAGGGACATTTAGAGGTGAGACCCCTCACACAAGACCCCTCTCAACTACTCGGCTGCACACAGCCATGCACTGAACTGCTTCCAGGACCCAGGGAGGCTGTGACTCTGAAGGAGCAGGTGGTCTTCTCCAGCCTGGAGGTTCTCACACTACGGCTCTACAGGCTCCCTCCTCTCCTTTCTGCTCTGCCTTCCTCACTAACCTCTGAACCTGAAGGGGCCTCGGTGCCAGCTAGGGAAGGGCTAGGGAGGACACGGCCCTGCGGAACCCAGGGAAAGCCTGGAAAGGAGGGAAGAGGAGAGAGCACAAGGCAAATGAGGTGACAGGGAGAGGTAGAGGAGAGGAAGGGAAGCAGGGAGGTGACTGAGCAGGAAAGGGAGCCAGACCAGGACAATGGCAACAACAGCAACACTTTGGGGGCGATAGGCAGAGCAAGGCTTAGCCAGGCCTGGCCAGTGTCCCCCTCCCACTAGAACTCTGTGTGGGGGTTGGGTTTGGGGTCACCGACCCAGTTATAGGTAGGGGGTGCGGGGGTCTCAGGGTTGGGTGGTAGGAAGAACTGGATTGCATGCTCTGTGGGTGGGAAGGAGAAGGAGAGGGAGGAGGACAATAGAGGAGAAATGGGGAGGTTCCCCTTGGAAACACAGAAGGTTGGCATAGGACATAGGTGTGGCTCTGCCTTCTATAGATTGACATTGAGCACTCCCTGCCCTGGCTCTGCTCTTGCTGGGGACAGTGAGGATTGAGAAACAGTGCCCAGGTGACTGTCTCCTGAATTTCCTGTCCTCTCCATGGAGTAAGACCCATCGTCCCCTCCCTCAAGGGATACAATAGCACACATGAGGGACCTGATGGGACAGGAGTCTCACCACAGGTGGGGTAAGTGCTATTTAACTCAGCTGCCCTTCTGGAGTGTCCCAGGGCTCCCTGTAAGCCAGATGGCCCAGCCCAAGTCAGAGGATGGAGAACAGGCCAGCCAGTCTCATGTAGTTGCCCCTCCCCCACCCGCCCAGCTGCCGCCACCTCCCACCCCCAACGCCCTGAAGACACCCAGATACTGGACTGCTGCAGAGCTCCTCCTTGACCAGTGTCCCCTGGCTGCTCACCGTTCTGGTCCTCCCTGTTCCACCCTGGGCCTTGGAGGCAACTGTCCTGGCCAGACCAAGGCTCTAGCAGCTGCCAGAGCTACGGAGCTACCAAGCTGCAGGCAGGCTCTCCGACTCAGCGTCAGCCGGCTGGCTCCTCGGTGTCACATGGTGTTGGAGGGGATAGGGCTGGTCAGGAAAGAGCCTCTCTGGGGACCTTGTTCCTAAGCTGGGCTCAGTTACTGCCCAGGTATGGACAGCAAGAGAAAGCGGGCTCCTCCCTGCAGCCTTCCTGGCAAGTCTGGCACTCAGAGGAATTCAGGATAGCGCAGGGAAGCCTGCTGAGCATTGACACGCCTAGCAATGACCTCACTGGCTCTCCTGTCTAGACTCAGACACCCAGGGGCCTTGTAGAGACCACGTCTCTCTACTGATGACAGAGGGGCGAGGTCTAATAAGCTTGTCTCTAAACAAGCTTGGAGGCTGCTGGTCCTGGCAACTCCAGGCATTAGGGCTGTGGGAGTCCAGGTTGAGGCAGAGATTTTGAACTAGTGTACAGTCTCCAGCAGAAAGGGGACCAGAGATGCCTCATAAGGGTGAACCTTAATAACTCAGGGCTCTCTGATTATCTTAAAACTACAGATCACTGATCACAGCTGGCGTTCAGTGAGGAAGGGCAAGTTCATGTTTTGTTCCAGGATCTCCCCGAAACTCTCTTCCTCAACTTAGTATTAGGGAAAACAGACTTATAGGACAGTCTCAAAATTCACTAAGTATAAACAGCTCTCACGGCAATGACCTCTGTGTTCCCATCCATTGTGGAGCAAGCTGGGAACAAGTTTCTGACTGTGACAGTATCCCTTTAGAAACCTGGCCTGCAGACCTGAAGCCATGGCATCACCCTTCATGACCGCAGGGTAACAGTCACATTTAGCGACTCATGGTGTCTGATGACTGCTAGATTCTGAGTCCCAGGGGGACCACCTGTTGGGATGTCTCCAGGCTTCATTCCCACGTGCTTATCTGGTGCTGGGATGCAGTACCACATCTCTGCAAGCTGCCTCTGACTTTGCTGGACAGTCCTGGGAGGCCCTGCCAGCAGGGGGTGCTAGACAGGTCCAGGGCAGGAGAGGAGAAGGATTCTATCAAGTTTTGTGAGTGCACATGTTTGTTTGAAAGTCTCATTTAGCCCAACCAAGGATGACCTGGAACCTCTGATCCTCCTGACTCCATCTCCCAAATGCTGGAATTACAAACCAAGGTTAGAGGTACGTGCCGCCACACCCTGCATAAGTGGTTCTGGGGATGGAACCAGGGCCTTGGTCATGCTCGGCTACTAATGCTCCGCCACTTGAGCGCCATCCCAGCCACAGCTGACACTTTGAACCCTCTCTTGCTTTTGCTTCTGTCACGTTCACACTGCTCTCCAATTTTCCCAACCTGGTGGTAGCAGTTGATTCCAGTTTGTTTGTGGTCTTTGTAAAACTTGAAAAACCACTCCTTGTCTGACATTTGAGAGACACCATCCACCAGCTGGCTGCCTGCCCTCCCCAGAAGCCTGAGCTGTGACTGTGTGGCCTCAAGACTTAGAATGAATGATAACAATGAAGCTCCTTTGAGTCCTCAGACCTGGGGTGGGGGTGGGGCGGAAGGTTCCAGCAGCGGCTGCCTCCTGCACTGTCTTGGGGGTTCCCTCTCCACGGCCGTGTTCTTTAGTGACATGCAGCACCTGCCTCCTGGCTGCCCTTGCTTGTGTTGGAAATATCCCACGAGTTCCACATAAACATGCCTTTGACTGGGTCTGTCGGTGGTGGTGGTGGTGGGTAAGAGGAATGCTAGCAGCCCAGGGTATGTGTGGCGTCAGGGTTAATCAGGGGAGCACTTGTGATGGGCTGTGGATGCAGCAAAAGGCAGAGTGGGGCAGTCATGAGCACTGCAAAGACCACAGCATGGGGTGACATCTTCGGAGGGCCTGGAACCAAGGGTGGCTTCCACTCCCATTTATAAGGGAGGGATACCAGCTGGAATCGCTACCCCATCATACAAACCAGAAACTCAGTCCAGCATTGGTGGCACATGCCTTTAATCCCAGCACTCAGGTGGCAGAGGCAGGCGGATCTCTGTGAGTTCGAAGGCAGCCTGGTCTACAGAGCCCGTTCCAGGACAGGCTCCAAAGTTACACAGAGAAACCCTGTCTTGAAAAACAAACCAAACCAAAAACTCAATATGCTGTTGAGGACTTGGGCAACCAGGCAGCACAGGGTGGAGCTCCCCAAGAGAATCCAAGAGAATGCATCTGGATGAGGCATGCCCTTTGCTCATAGTGACTGCCTGGAAGAGATCTCCAGCTGAGGCCTGGGTGGAGGCACTACAGGGATTCAGCAGGGGAACACCAGTAAGGAAACCTCAGGAAATTGTGAGGACAGAAAGGCAACCTAAGAATCCCAGAAAATGGACCAGGAAAAAATCAGTAAAATAAAAACAGTATTATTAAAAGATTGATAGATTTCTAGTCAGGCATGGTGGTGCACACATTTTTAACATATAATTTATTTTTGTTTTATGTACAATAGTGTTTTCCTGCATGCATATTTATGTGAGGGTGTTGGGTCCCCTGGAACTGGAATTGCAGACAGTTATGAGCTGTCCTGTGGGTGCTGGGAATTGACCCAGGTCCTCTAGTAGAACAGTCATTGCTCTTAACTGCTGAGCCATCTTGCCAGTCCTGGCACACACCTTTAATCTCAGTACTCGGGAAGCAGGGCAGGTGGATCTCTGTGAGTTCACGGCCAGCCTGGTCTACAAATCGAGTTCCAGGACAGTCAGGGCTACACACAGAGAAACTCCTTCCTCAAAAACAAAACAAAACAAGATTGACAGAATTGAGGAACTTTATGTAGATTGACTCAGAAGGCAAAAAATACAAATTACTAAAATGGGGTGCCGCTCCCGTTTCTCTCTGAAACAGACTTGTAATCCAGTCCTGGCACTTGCTAGGTAGTTAAAGTTGGCATTGAACACAAAGTGATCCTCCTGCCTCAGCCTCCCAACCTTGGTATTTCAGAAGTGCTTTACCATGTCTGGCTCCAACGTGCTGGAGCTGGACCCTGGGCCTTGTGCTTGCCCTACCACTCAGCTGTCTGCCCTGCCCTTCCCCCTGCGATGCCAAGGGGCAGCCCCCACAGAGCTGTGTGCAGACATGTGACAGTGTGGAGAACGTGGTGTAACTCCTTCAAAGATGCAAATGATAATATGAAGAGCTCTTGAATTCAGAGAGCCACCTGCCTCTGCCTCCCAAGTGCTGGGATTACAGGCATGCCCCACCACCATCCAGCTAGAATTAGAATTCTAGTTAAACACTTTTTCCTTAAATAATCCTCCATCCCAATGATACAGCTGATGACTCCATGGGTCCTTAAGGCAGCCATTTGTAAGTGCTGCTGTGCAGGCCTGAGACCCTGAGTTTATTGCCTGTAATCCCAGTGCTGGGGGAGGAGGGGCACACAGAGGCAGGCTCTGGGGCTTGCTGACTGGCCAGTCCAGACAACCATTGAGCTAGAGGTTCACTGTGAGCCTCTATCTCAAAAAATAAGATGAACCGCAACCACGGAAGACACTTAATGTTAGACCTTTGCTCTCCACACACTTGGACCTACACGGACAGGTGTACACACAGGAACTTGCATGCACGCGGGTGCACAGACTCACAGAAAGAAAAGGAGGGGGACCATTTAAACCTTGCAAAACTCTATAGAAAATGGTTGAGAGGAACATTTCCATCCATTTTTAGAGGCAGTGGTGTTCTGGTATTTAAGCTGGTTACACACATTACGAACACAGCGAACTTTGGACCCACATCTTCATATGCTTCCTTCACTGCTGCTCACCAGCCTCTCTGGGGTTGGCCCTGCGGCACTGGGGATTTGGACACTGAGACCATGGTCAGACTAGCAGGGAGCTAGGCTGTACAAGATACAACCCTGGAAACAAGGACTGGGGTTTGGCTGTACTTTTCCAACCAGTGAGGTGAGGGAACAGCCGAGAAGTAAGCAAGGCCTCCCCGGGTCTCAGGAGAGGCACGGTTTTCACACAGGCATGGAGCCAGGTGGAATAGCAGTGGAGTGCCACCCAGCCAACACAGGATGGGCTCTACAGTGCTGCCTGCAGGCTCTGGGCAGGACCAGGCTGACAGCAACCCCGGGATGCTGGCTGCTCCCGCTATGACATCCTGCTCCTGAGAAGTCTATGTTGCCAGAATAGCCCCATGATCTCAGGTCGTAAGTGGGCAGGCCAGGGTGGACACCTTCTCCTGGGATCTGAGTTTTCACAGGTCTGGCTTTGCCTGAAGGACTGAGAAGGGGCAGTTGGCCTCAGGAATACATAGGGAAGGGCTGTCACCAAGACTGGCTGGTGAGGATAGAGGGTCTCTTGGTGAGGGTCTGGTGGCTCTGGAGTGAGAAGATAAGGTTCAGCTGGGACAGTGGGAGAGGAGGTGTGGCTGGCGTGGGGTAGACTGGGGAGTCACAGCCAGGCCTGGAAGCCCCCGTCTCTGCTCTACCTCCCTCATACCGGAGTCCTCTGGAAGTAAAAACCAGTAAATATGAGCTTCTGTGTAGGACCCAGTGGTCTGAGACCCAAGTTAGAGATTGTTACAAGATCTGAGCTTAGTCTGAATGACAGGGACTTGGGGTACGGCAGAGAGAGGTACAGACAAGGGAGAGGGGCCCAGACACGGGTAACACTATGGATATACAACATGGACATGGCTCTGCAAGCCTGGTCTGGTGCAGGTCTGTCTTAAACGGGACCAGAGACTGGAGTGAATGTCCTTGCATACTTTTCAGAGCCCCTAAGAACAGGATGCGATTGCTCAAGGAAGATTCAGGGAGAGCCCAGCCCACCACACTCAGGAGAGGTGCAAAGGACAGGAGCAGAAGTGTGGAGGTCTGCGTGCAGCAGGGAGGGCACCCTGCCCGGGGAGGTACCTCTGACCTCAAGCCCTGGATATCAAAGAGACTGTGGGAGTGAGTGAGCGAATGCTCCATGGCACTGTGGAGGGGTCAGCAGCACCTTTGGGTCCTAAAGCAATGGGTGCCTGGAGTCCATGAGCAAAGATTTCTAATTACCCTCTGGTGGAGGGCTCAGAGGCTCCTCGGAGGTCCTGGATAGATTCAGCTTCAATTTCCCCCTGCAGAGACTGACTGGGCAACTCTCTTGAGTGGTCATCATGGTTTGATCCTCCTGGTCCTTCAGTTCTGCATCTGGGATGACCTTCTAGGCAACTGTTCCCTCTCAAATCTTTGTGTCAATCAGGAAGTGCCTGAGCTTAGACAGCATTCTCCTGCATGGTTGGTTCTGGGGTGGGTAGTGGCGACCCATAAGAGGCTTAGCATGGCAGGTTTCCTGGTCTAGAGGGCCCTTGTCTCCTGTGGATGCAGGGACGTAGCACTCACGGAATTCTGGGTGCGGCTTGCTTTGGGTTTCCCCCATCTCTCAGCCCTGTGCTGTTTTAGCATGCCAAAGAAAATGGGAGGTACAGCTTGGCTGTGACCTACGAAGGTGTGTGCTTCTAGTCTGCCTCTAGGCGAGAACTTGTTGCAGAGAGCTTCATGAGGAACGTTTTGGAAACATCCCCAAATGCTGGGGTGACCTTGTTTGTACTTGTGGAAAACAGTGTACTGCATATGTTATGACAGATGTACCTCTTAGATATCAGAAAATCCTAGGTACAAAGATTAAGTGTCTTTTTGAAGTACTTGGCTGTGTTACCCAAAACATGGGGGAAATCCGAAGAGATTCATGGCCCCAGGGGTGGTTGCTCCAAGAGCTCAGGATGTGAGCACAGAATCTCAGCATGAAGCTGGGACTGTGGCTGGCTTCCCAAAGTCAAGAACTTCCACATGTTGGTGCAGGAAGTGACACTGAGATGCCTCGTTCCCTGGGCACTTAATTACACCGCTATTGTCACACAGGAGGAGATTGAGTTTTAAGTTTCTTTTAAATGTGTATAGGTGTTTCGATTGCATGTGTATCTGTGTATCACCTGCCTTCATGCGATGCCCTTGGAGGTTAGGAGAGGACATTGGATCTTCTGGGACTAATGTTACAGATGGTTGTGACCCATCATGTGGGTGCTGGGAATTGAAGCCTGATTCTCTGGAAGAGCAGCCAGCATTTCCTTCCTTCCTTCCTTCCTTCCTTCCTTCCTTCCTTCCTTCCTTCCTTCCTTCCTTCCTTCGAGACAGGGTTTCTCTGTGTAGCTCTGACTGTCCTGGAACTAGCTTTGTAGACCAGGCTGGTCTCTAATTCATAGGGATCTGCCTATCTCTGCCTCCCCAGTACTGGGATTAAAGGTGTACACCAACACCACCTGGCCTCAGCAAGAATTTCTAGAATTTCTAACCACTGAACCATCTCTCCAGTCCCTAATTATTATTTTTTAACATTTATTTATTTATTTATTTATTTATTTATTTATTTATTTATTTGTGCGTGGGGACAGGCTTGTGCACCTGGAGATCAGGGGACAATTCTTGGGAGTCAGGTATTCTCTTTTTCCACCCAAATATGGAATTCAGGTGGCCATGCATGGTGGCAAGCACTTCTACTGGATTTTAAAATTAAAAAAACCACAAAAATATTTTTAAAAATTATATATAAGCCAGGTAGTGGTGGTACACACCTTTAATCCCAGCATCTGGGAGGCAAAGGCAGGCAGATCTCTGAGTTTGAGGCCGCCCTGGTCTACAAAATGAGTTCTAGGAAAGGTAGAGCTACACAGAAAAACCCTGTCTCAAAAAATAAAAAAAAACTGCATGTATGCCTGTGTATTTGTGTTGGGGTATGTGCATATGAGTGCAGCTATGCATGGAGGCCTGGAGAGGGCGCTGGATCACATAGAGTTGGATTTGCTTGTAACTGGGAGCCACCTGAAATAGGAACTGAATGTGTGTCCTCTGAAAGAGCAGTACCTGCTCTTAATCATTGAGCCAACTCTCCAGCTTCAAAAATATTTTATTTTTAAATTTCTTGGCATGGTGGTACACCTTTAATCCCTGCACTTGAGAGGCAGGAGCAGGTGGATCTTTATGAGTTTGAGGACAGCCTGGTCTACATACTGAGTTACTTCCAGGTCAGCCAGAGCTACACAGTTAAGATCCTGTCTCAAAAAATTATTAATTATTGCCGGGTGGTGGTGGCACATGCCTTTAATTCCAGCACTCGGGAGGCAAAGGCAGGTGGATCTCTATGAGTTCGAGACCAGCCTGGTCTACAAGAGCTAGTTCCAGGACAGCCTCTAAAGCCACAGAGAAACCCTGTCTTGAAACCTCCCCCCTCCAAAAAATTATTAATTATGTATATACACATGTGTCTGTGTATGTGAGTATTTGTGCCCTTGAAGGCCAGAGAGGATGTTGGATCTCCTGAAGCTGGAGTTACAGGTCATTGTGAGCCACCTTACAAGGTTCTGGGGACTGAGCTGAAGTCTTCTGCAAGCACAGTATGCATTCTTAAACACTATGAACTGCTGAGCCCTCTCTCCAGTCCCCAGGCGTTGGATTTTAACTATCACATGTCCTAGGATACCTCTGAAGCTGAGCCTTGGGGCAACTCTACATCCTGTAGTGCTGGTCTTTGATAGGGAAGTCCTGTGTATATGTCAATAAAGCATTGTTGGCCAATAAGGAAGCAAGATAGGTGGAACTAGGAGTCTAGGAGGATTCTGGGAAATGTAGTGAACTGAGCTGTTGCCATGTGATCCCTGGAGAAGACAACACAAGTCTGGCGTTCTCAAAAAGATAAGTCCTTATAAAACTATATATTGATGATTATGGGTCAATAATTAAGTCAGAGCTAGACAATGAGAAACAATAGCAAATGGCCAACAGCTTTATAATTAATATAGTGTCCTGTGTATTATTTGGGGGTTCAGACAGCTCGGCAGGGCCCAGGTGGCTGGCTGGGAAGACAACACATTACAGGTCTTCCCTTTCCATCTCTTACTAGAGAAAACATTTCGACATTGTTCAGTGTGGAGATCCACACTGGCTCCACTCCAGGTTTCCAGATTTTAAATTTATCTTTATGACAACCGACCCTCTCCCTGCTGGACCCCATAGCACTGAGGCTGCTACTCTGGGTATCATGAAGTTCACAGTTGGGTTTATCACACCCATGGCCCAGTGTCCATTGCTGCCTAGACATCTAGAGTCTGCTGGGAATAACCCCTGACTTTAACCCTGTACCCCAATCTTCCATCTCCTCCCCTACTGTCCTTCCAGAAGCATGTGAGACTCTAGATGAGGGGGAGGATTCAGGAAAATGACTGGTGCACACATCAAATGTCTGAAAAAATGTAAACCAATAAATTCGAGGAAAACGTAAGAGAGGGAGAGGGAGGAGGGGTGAGAAAGGATCCACGGGCCTCAGAAGAGGTGGCAGGACCCCACGCAGAGTGGACACAGCCGGACTGACTCAACCTTCTACATGTGATCCCATGAGCAATCCCAAGACCTGCCATAAGAGGGCGCTGATTCTACACAGCAGCTCAGGACTCAGGGACCAGCGGCTACAGGTGGGTGACAATGGCATCTGTCTGATAAAAGAACTAGATAGAAGTGGGGCTGGGCACCATGCCAAAGAGGAACAGAGGACATGCCATGCATATGGAGTCAAGAACGAGATCCCTTAGCCTCTGCACCAGAAGTGGGACTCTGCGTGAATGTAGTGGGTCTCACCCGCAGCTCCCTGTCTCACTCCACAACCCTTCCCTAAAGACCTCCAAGCCTCACCTGCCCTTTCCTGCTTCCCCCCAGAGGGACAGTGACTGTCTAGGCTGAGCATTTAAGTCTCCACCCTAGCAGGAAATCTCCGCCATGTTCCTGCCTGCCTCCTCCATCCTGCTTGGTGAGGTCTGCCTAAGAAAAAGGCAAAGTCCTGAGTCCAACCTCCTCTGTCTTCCTTGTTTCCACAGCTGAGGACCCCAGTGACCAGTCCCCTCTGAAGCAAAGCCCCCCAACTTCAGCCTGTTTGCAAGGAGAGACTGTGACTCCCCAGGATCCTTCCATCTGAGTGACCAGTGCACACAGCTTCTCCCATGTTGGACTCAGGACATTGGCCACTGGTGACTAAAAAGTCACACTAGGGAGGTGGAGAGATGAATCAGCAATTACGTGTTTACTGCTCTCACAGAGGACCTGAGTTCAATTCCCAGTAGCCACATCAGGCCGCTCACAAAGGCATGCAACCCTGGCTCCAGGAGCTCCTCCCCCATCTTCTGATCTCCACAGCCACCCCACCCCCACACACACCAAAAACAAAAACCCCAACCCTAAATGGAAAAAAAAAAGTCACACTACAGACCTCTGGGATGGAGTGCTTCCACTGTGGGTGACAGCTCTCAAGCCAGTCCTGTACCCTGGCCTCCTGGCTCTGTGGTGCTTTTCTCTCAAACTGAAATCTGGAGAGAAGTCCATTACAATTGTTTCCATCAGTCTTCAAAAGTCCAGATACTTGATGGTGACAGCCCTTACTGACCTGTCACCTGATGAGCCAGCATGTGTCCATCAAGGACAGACAGGCAGAGGACTCCTGACTCTCCCAGAGGCCTCAGCTTGGCTTGTTCCCCATTGCATGCAGCCTACTTGAATTGCTGTCTGTGTCCCGTTCTCGTCTGGACCTGCTGTCCACCTGCTGGTTCTTTTGCCTAGACCTAGTCCTGCCCTTCCACCTGCAGAGGTTGACACGGTGTCCCCAGCTTCCCTTTAGACACCAAGAAGACTCCTGCATCTTCTACTGTTTTCCCAGTTTTGACTTCTCGTGCCTCTTTGGAACTCCTTGCCAACCTTTTGTGGTTACTCCCTAACTTACCCACATGTTTGCTATGTGATGTGTAATGTGTATTAGTAATTAAGATTAGAATGAAAGAAACTGTGTTTGCCTTGGTCAGGCTATCAAGGAAAGCGGAGTTATCTAGTGCATTGCTGCCACTGAAACAGCTGTGTCTTGTGAATTGTTATTCAATGAATTCTGACACTGTAGAAAGACATTTTTGTTTCCATTATAGCCTCTATTATACACTTGGACAGCCAGCCCGGGCACACCTGGCAGGAAGAATGCACACCTATGAGCCAAGCAGATGCAGCTGCCCCTGGGCAGAGATACAGATACAGGGGCCCGGGAAGCCCTGAAGGGCCCTCTAGCACAGAAAGAGGCCAGATGCCATCCAGCCCTGCTCCCAGACCATGCAGTCCCCACAGGACAAGGAAAGGATGGCTGCCTCCCAGACTCCATATAAGCAACCTTGGCAGACCCACCCAGGATTCCGCTGGAACCAGGAGGGGGGGAGCAGGCGTGGGTGAGAGGGGGAGGGTTCCTCATTTGTCTCCTGTTTTAGATGTCCCCTTGGGCAGAAGCCACATCATGGTTCTGCCTACACAGGCCCATCCCCACATGGGAGCATCCTCTAACCCAGGATGGCCACATCCACAGTGGAATTCACTATGACTGAGCATGTCAGAGCACAGCTGATGCTCAGTGGGTACAGTGCTTGTTATACACACCAGGTGGTTCACGACTGCCTGTAACTGCAGCTCCTGATTATCTGACACCCTCTTTTGACCTCTGTGGGCACCCATGTGCGCACAATCACATGTGTGCATACGCACGCGCGTGCGCGCATACGCGCGCGCACGCGCGCGCGCGCGCACACACACACACACACACACACAGGTATGTACACATAAATACTTTGTCTTTAGAATTTTATTTTTTACACGTATGACTTTCTTTTTTCTTTTTTTGCTTGCATTCATGTCTGTGAACCACACTGGCAGCTCTCAAGAGAGGACCCGGGTCTAATTCCCAGTCAGTATGGTTCAACCATCTGTAACTCTAGTCTCAATGGACCTGATGCTCTTTCCTGGCCTCCATGGCACCAGGCATGCATGTGGTACACAGACATATAAGTAGGCAAGAGATCATACATGTAAAATAATAAAATACATTTTAAAAAGACCATTTTTATTTATTCTTTTATGGCATTAGAATGAATATCTCACTCTTCCTTGAAAGGTAAACACAACCTGGCTCCAGGAGGGCAGTGGCCGGGCCTCTAGTTCTGACCACCACTGATCTGAAATCACACCAGGGATCCCCAGGGAGGAGGTGCTTCCATATAGGTGACAGCTCTTCCAACCGCTCCTAGACCCCACCTTCCAGGCCCTGCTGTTCTTTCTGCTCGAGCTCTAGAACCTGGAGAGAGAAGCCCATCAGAACGGTCTCTATCACCTTCAGAGAACCAGCTGCTCAAACTGCCAGCCATGAAGGTTATGGGTCACCCAGGGAGAGAGTGCAGAGGGAAAGGCTTGGCCCAGGAGCTCCTGGTGGCCACTGGAGATGGTGAGATTCCAGGTGCTTCTATTTCTGCCCACTGTGAGGCACGCAGCATAAAAATCCCTTGCTGGTCTGTAGAAACTGCTGCCAAGTGGCCAAGCCCTTGTCACCACTAAAGAAGCCAGAGCTTGGTGCTGGAGAGATAATTGAGCGGTTGAGAGCACTTGCTGCTCTTCCAGGGGTCCCGAGTTCAGTTCCCAGGACCCATGTCAAGTGGATCACAAAGTTTTATAACCCAGCCCCAGAGGAGTCAATGTCTCTAGCCTCCAGGACACTTCACTCACACGCACATATCCACACACACAGATTCACACGCACAGTTACAAAGAACAACAATAAATTAAGCATCAGAGCTGCCCTTGGTGGCTAGACTGTTCCATCCCTGTGACTCAGGGACAGCAGGATCTAGGGACAAAGCATGTGGGAATCAGCTATACAGGCTGCAGGGTCTGCCCAGCCAGTGGGGGCATAGGACAATCGCATCCTGACCCACATCTCAGCTTCCCAGGGGCCACCACCTGCTTCCCAGGGGCCACTCTACCTCCCATTAACCTCTACTGAGTTTTCTGAGTTACTGGAGGTGGGTGGGGGTGGTTCCCAAAGTCAGCTGGATACAGAGTCACTTCTTTGCAAGGGGAAGCTCAGAGGATTTTCCAGCCCTATGCCAGCTTTCTTTGGCCTGGGCACTGCTAACCAAAGGGACCAGATGGCTCTCTCAGAGGTAGGGGAGAATCTCAAGCATCCCTGCTTTCTCTTCTGGATGTCAGAAGACTCCAGCCCAGTCGTGACGACCCTGCTGTGTACCTAAGCACCCTCAAAGTGCATGCTAGTCACTCAGGGGTCTTTGCTGTAGCCAAGGTTCCTAACAGCTCCTCTGGTGCCTTGGGTTCTGCAGCTCAGCAGAGCACTGTCCATGGTTTTCCATCTTCCATTGTTGTCCCTGGGCTGGGCAGCTGTCTCTCTCTTTGGCAGAGCAGAGCCTGGCTGGGAAAGAGCTGTGTCTAACTTGCCATCTGTGGGTGTCTCCGCTATGGTCTTCAGAAAAGGACAGGGGTGGGCAGAGCTAAGGTTACTTTAATCAAAGGTGTGGTTCCCTCAACCCCAGCACTCCAGAGGCAGAGGTGGGAGGGAGGGCCTCTGTGAGTTTGAGGTCAGCTGATTTACACAGCAAGCTCTACAGGGTGCATGGAGAGAACCTGTCTCAAAAATATTAAAAAAAAAAAAGCCTGTAGTGGTATATGCCTTTAACCCTAGCACTCAGGAGGAAGATACAGGCAGATCTCTGTGAGTTCAAGGCCCTCCTGGTCTATATAGCAGCCAGGACAGTTACACAGAGAAACCCTGTCTTGAAAAACCAAAACCAAACCACATGTATGTATGTATGTATGTATGTATGTATGTATATATATATATATATATATATATATATATATATATATATATATAATCCCATTGCTGAAGGACAGTAGCATGCCATATGATTTTCTATATAAAAGTTTTTCTCCTCAAGAGAAGCCCCTCATATGGCCTCCCAGGCATGACACACACAGCCCTCTGGCAGGGCTCACCTGGCTATCAATGTAGTGGAACTGCCAGGGCCATGTCGTGTTGTACAGAAAGGGCCTCAGGTCGAACCTGTTGTCATCAGGACTGTAGCTTTCAGCATGATACGCTGGCGTGAGCGTTGTCATCTTGTGCCTGTTCATGGAGTACTTTGAGAAAAACTGCTTCACCTTCTCAGCCACCTGGTGAGCAAAGGACACATGGACTTCAGGTTAGAAAGGCAGTAAAGACTTGAGGCTAAGAGTCCTGCTTTTGAGGGACATAAATGACCAGCAGATGCCAGCCCTGCCCCTGGCTTTTCTGGCCAGCAGCACGGAGACACATCAGCTGGGCTGCCACTGTCTGAGCTGCAGAACTGTAGAGTCCTGGTTCTGACATCCCAGTGCTGTGCTCCTGGAGGCCTCCAGGTGGGTCTAGATGCCCGGTAGATACTCTGGCCAGCAGAAACCTGACGTATTCTGCAGCCTCTGTGACGCACCAGCACACCCGCATGGCTGGCCCACACTTGGGTTAACTCAGGGTAGTCAGGAATCTCCAGCTGGTGAAGATGACTGTGCAAAATGTTACTGTGTAGGAAACGTACACAGTACGTTAGGGGTCACCCATAGGTGGCCTGTCTGATGTCATACATGGCTTTACCTGTCTTGGTGTACAGCTGTCTTTCCACATGTTGAGCAGTTTGCAGAACATGCTGTAGGGCCCTGCCTTGGCGACCTTCCGAAGTCTGCCAAAGACGGAGAGTTCTGAGTATGTCATCCCCATGTCTTCCTGTGGGGACAGAAGAGTATTCAAAGCACAGTGGGTTGGTGCCAGGAGGAACTGCAGAGCCTCTTGCAGTTGGGACAAAATGTTCAGGGAGGTGAGTCTCAACAAGGGTCAGAAGTGGGTGTCCAGTCAGGGCTCTCAGAGTTCACTGGGTGCCAGGAGGTGCAGGCTTGGAAAAGCAACCAAAACCATGAAAGGCATGGAGGTGACTGCTGTGAGGTAGAGAACCTGCTCTGTCTCCTAGCCTGTCATCCTCACTCTGCCTCTGACCCACTTTGTTATCTCCCTTCTCCAGCCCTAACCACAACGAGAAAGCTAAGGCAAGTGTGTGAGGTTAGTGATTCCGTCGGCCTGAGTGAACCAGGGTCCCATGAGAAGGGGAGACACATTCACCATGACAAAGCCGCCATCGTTACCTCATCCGTCTGCGACACCTGCCCGTTGGCTAAGGGCTCCAGCTCTGCCGTGGCCGGTGCTGACAGGATGCTGCAGCAGGACACAGTGGGTCGGTCACCAGGGCTGCTAATGTGCTCATGAGCTCTGGCAGGACGTCCCTAGACTAACTGGCCATGACTGGCAGGGCCGTACCTGGAATCATGGTCCTGGGGCTTCATGACCCAAAGGACAGTGGATCAAGGATAGTAAGGAGGTGAAGAGTTTGGGGCAGGGGCTTTCTGCTGCAGGACTGTTAATAGTTGGGGTCAGGAGACTTGACAGAGAAGGTATGGTGGGGTAGCTTGACATACTGCAGGATTCTTGGGAGGATCCTCAAGCTATGCCTATGAGCTTCTAAGAACAAACCCTTGGTGACAGCCAAAGGGATCTCCACATATTGTCAGAGGTCCCCTGTGGACACAACTGACTCTGCAAGGATAGCAAGGACACGGTTTTCCTGGTACCAGAAGTGATGCTGCAGTGACCCGATAGGCTGATAGGCTGTGGGTGTCCTCAACAGGCACCCCGAGATCAGCCCAGTCTCTCTGCCTCGAGATGGCAGCAGGAGAGAAGCCAGCCTGGGAGGAATGGTCACCTAAGACACTTAGACCCATGGGTGCAGGAACAGGAGCAGGTGGGGTCACGACTCATGCTCCCAGCTGAAGGGTGGGGCATAGGGAGCCAAGGAGGGTGGCTGAGCAAGGCAAGGGTGGCCTTGGCGGCCCAGGAGCCACAAGAGCACTCACGTCTGCAGAGCGGGAAGTTGGAAGCGCTCGGCGCAGAACTGGACGAAGGTTCTCAGGTCTGTTTTGCTGATGCCGCCTATGGGGTTGATGTCTGCACTGGAGCAGTCATACTTGGTCAGGTAGCCGAGGAGACTGCCAGGGAAAA